ACACAGTATCTTACAAATCTGAGGGAATTTCACAGAATACACATCGACGAAAAAAGAGGAACAACTAGAAAACCGAAGGAAGGAGATGTGGTACTCATGTGGGAGTCAGTACAACCAAGAAACACATGGAAAATGGCAAGAATAATTGAATTTTAAGACGCACCAGGGGCAGGACGAGAAGTTGTGCTAGAAACACCTAACAAACATAAGCTCAGACGCCCCATCAATCGCATGGTACCACTGGAGCTTGGACAGGATCAAGAAGAAACATCCAGCCCACGAAGAGAAACATCCGCCCCGCAGGAAAATACACCACAGACGAGGTACAATTTGCGCCCAAGGAAGAAAGTTGATTACACCGAAGCAAAGGACGAAGGTACCAGCTTCAATTGCCTGCCAAGCCTCTTCAGACACAATGCCCCCCTTTTAACAGTCTTACTCCTAGCAATATGTGCGCAGGTCTGCTTAGGCGGCAGCAACATAACGCGTCATCTTCAATGCATTGACGGAGGAGTAATCCTAACACAAGAAGAACCACATCAATATGAGATTTGCGCGGAGGACTACTGCATCGAATTTCGCCAACCGCAGCGAATAGAAACGGTAATATTACTCGCACAAATCACGCTGCACGAGCACTTAGTGAAGTGGACTGCACCTTCTGCACGGCAATGATGACCAACCCGGAATGTTGGCCACGAACAGCCATTCTTGTAACAGGAATTGCAGCTTACGCAGCAATTTCCATATGTTACTGCGTATTTCATGTGTCAGTATTGATTGGAGCTCCATTCCTGTACCTTTTGAAGATAGTTGTATTGTGTGTGCGATTATCAGTTAGAACAGTATGGAACACGATGGCAAAGATATTGGCACCAGCCCATCACAGACGTCGAAGGATTTCGTTCTCTAGAAGTGCAATATTCATGGCACTAAGCATGAGCACAATACTGCAAGCGTGTCAAGACGTAGATGTCTCTACGCACCAAAGCAGATCCTGCTATCGCTCAAAACGAGGCCATTATTGCACGATTGACACAACGGAGATTCTCAAAATCAACCCCTTCAAGCAAGAAGCCTGCATCAGATTGAAAGGCAAGAACAACAATATCCTAGAAGTAAAACTACTTTGGAAGAGCCTCAATCTGATCTGCGAAAAACAAACGATACTGTTCACTAAAAGCACGTATGCACTATTGGACAGCAAACGATGCCCACATGCAGGATCATGCGTAGGAGATAAATATGGAAGTATCACGCGAACATCTCAAATCCCAGAACTGCACAAAGCAAATTACTACCCCGGCGTAACCGGATGCGTAGAAAGCTGCGGCGGACCCGGTTGTGACTGCTTTTACCCCAGTTCCGGGTGCTGATGAGAATTTTACAGGATTTACCTCATACCAAACGATGAGAAGGTGTATGAGATCTTCAGATGTAGAAGATGGAAACAGGGTATAAACCTACAACTCTCTATTAGCGAAGAAGGAAAGCCAACACAACATCACGACGTTCGTCTTGTTCCAAATCAACCCAGTATGCTTTCGATATTTGTAATTACTCTTTCATCGATCAGCACTCCACCAACACCTCTGTTAAACTCAGCCTTTCTCACAGATCGTGAACTCTTCGCACTGGCTCCAACGGACTACCAGCCACCTCTAACATGTAATTCACAAGAAGAGGCACGAAACCTTACCTGCGATGGAGAGAGGAATGCACCTGTACACCAGCAGAGTCGAAAATGCGCTGCGACTGCAAGGAGGGCAACCTCACATCAAATATTCGGGAACCACGGTAGAGATTACTTACAGGGTGTCCCAAAAGTCTTTAAGCCTAGTATTTCCTTAATTGCAACTGTACGGAGCAACATACTCACATGAAATTTAGCAGGAATCTTGTGAAAAATCTACAAAATAACAAGGTACACTCAGTTTTTGAAAACCCCTTATTTGGCCTTCACACAAGCTCTCACACTCTTGCGCGACGCATGCACCGTGGCAGACAGATAGTTGACGTCGAGAATGTCTCACATCTTCTGAAGCAAGCGTTCCAGACTGCCCAAAATTTAGTGTGGAACAGAGCACGCCTTGCTTTCCATGACTGATTACAAAGAAAGTCAAATGCTCTTGGGCCGACGATTAAAAGCATGTTGATCTGAGAAGCACGTCTGTGAGATTTAACAAATGTGTCTGCAGCAATCAAGTTTTTGATAACATAAAAAAACAGCAATTTTGGTGTGCATGGAATGACTTCAAAATGATATTCCAGTAAAAAAAATGCAGAGCTTACAGCTAGAATTAGTGGCTCAAATTCAATTTGTGTTTGAGTTTCCAGCTTCCTCGGATTTTTTTGTTTCCGAGGACTTTTTTTTCTTATTGACACGGCACTACTTGAGTGTTTGTATCTTAATCCTGCATTAATGAATACAGACTACTGATTAGTTTTGCACTGTAGACGTAGAGTAAGGCTAGCTTTACAATATGCGGTTCAAGATTCCGCAAGAGCTTCGAAGGCAAAAGAGGTATATATGTTTGAGTAAAGGGTAAGTTAACATTTGGCCGTCTCAAAATTGTAGTACTGTTGCTCCAGAAACAATATTTTGAGAATGTACCGCGCAAACGGCATAATTTTCTTAAGAAATACTGAAAACTAGACGAAGTACTCGTGCGCAAAATTTAACTGAAAAGCGAGGAATACTAACAAAGTTACTACGTTGGGAAGTTAGGCTCAAAGACTTTTGGGACACCCTGTTTGCGACCCAACCTTGAATTCCAGGAAATGAACGGAACGATAACTTCAAAAATACCACAGCTACCAACAGCGGAATTCCTACTACGCATTAAAGGGAAATTTAGCACGACTTCAATACGATCAGAAGCGGTATGCACAAGTAAAATTGCCCATTGCACAGGGTGCTATAAATGCACAAAGGGAGCCAAAGCCCTAATCACATGCATTTCCTCAACACCTGCAGCACGGGCAGAAATAGAATGCGGCGACGATGCACTCACGGTTTTGTGCTCACAGGAAGGTACACAAACAAATATAAGCATCATAAGTCAAAACGCCCAGTTCCACAGAAAATGTACTATTAAACGTGGGACAACGGTCAACTCCTTTGAGATTGCAGGAATTCTACACTACACGGGAAACCTACACGAAGCGACGCGACGCATCTTGAGAGGAGAAAACGAAATCTTCTCGGAAATAAATCTTCCAGACTTTGGACATATATTCGAAGTATTTCGCAACTGAGGCTACACTAGTGATCAACATTGCACTAATGGCGCTCGCATTGCTGATGACATACACCTGCATCACGAACATGGTATTTTGCACAGTGATCAGACTCATTTTCCGACTCGGCTATTGCTTGTGCAAGTTATGCGTCTGTCTAGTGAGATGGATATTGCGCATGCTGCTCAAATCTCTTCGAAAAGAACGAGGGAAGAAACCACGGCAGAAAATTCTCTGATGCGCATGAATTCACGGCAGGCACAATAGCACGAGCACTAAACTCCAGATTCAATAGCGAATAACTTAGTCAGACACAGAAAACACTCATCATGCAAATCTGCCGGCGAGGTCAGTCAAAAAATTGCACGACAAACCCTTGTTGGCTCTCAGAAAGACATCTCCTTCCTACCACCAAAAGGATAGGATAGAATAAAGAGGGAGGATCACCTTATAGCTGATGTGAAAGCCATAAACATTGAAAAAGAAAAAAAATAATCAATATAACATAAGAAACGGCAAAAGCATGAAACACGGCAAAAAAAGCAGGTATGATATGCGGCAAAGCTCCGAATCAAAACATCGCAATATTCGCGGCGGCGATCACACCGTGCTTTGACTAAACCTACGGGGATGGAAAAGAATTGATAACAACTACTTGAGTAGAAAACAAAATCCAGCATCTAATCACTCAATTATTGTTGCAGATAATGGACAAATTCACGGAAGAAGAGCGCAGATTTAAAAAACTAAGGCAAGAGTTCTCACGGAAGATAACAATGGTCGAGAGTTCACCGTCTCGTCCCACGGAAAGCATCGTCCGGCAGAAACTCAAATTTTACGCGGACAAATGCTATGAGTTCGAAAGTACACAAGCACGCCAAAGCACGATTTGTTTCTCTAATGATGGACAGGTGGGACATGATCATTGTCAGAGGTGGAGCGTTGCACTATCTTCTGAAGATAAAGCAACTCTACATGGAGCACAAAGGAAGAACGCACGAATCTCACAGTCATGAGAGACCAATTCGTGTTAGCGCACGAGTGGTACGAAGTCTTGGTGGCAATGAACGAAGCGAACGAGCTTGAACGACTGGCCTACATTAATGAACTATCAGCCGAAGTCTTCTACGAGACGACGGAGCCAGGAGACGAAGGCTATCCCGAACACAGGCAGACTCGACGCAATTACACGAAGAATCGAATCTGCAGCATTGTGCACAACCTGTTAGGTCTTTACGACCTCCTCTTGAAAGAAGAAAAGGCAGCGGTAGAAGAAGCAGAACGCGAATTCAAACGGAACACAGCCGCAGAAGACAAAACTCTTCGTGAGATGAGAAACGCCTTTATGGATTTGCAGGATGACGTCAAAAAGCAGCAGCACGAAACGCGGGAGTGGATGCAAGCCATGCATCAACACTTCGGAGGACTGGTCACCCGCGAGATGAAAGACGGATTTCCCTCACTTCGCGAAGATGTCAAGAGGCAACAGGAAAGTCGGAAGCACCAGTTCAAATCACAGAGTAAGAGTCGGAAGCACCAGTTCAAATCAGCACTTCGAAGGACTGGTCACCCGCGAGATGAAAGACGGATTTCGCTCACTTCACGAAGATGTCAAGAGGCAACAGGAAAGCACAATGCACCAGATAGAAGACATAACAGCACAGCTAAAAAACCTTTCTGGCCAAGTCAGCGAGGAGGCTGAAAGTCGGAAGCACCAGTTCAAATCACAGAGTAAGAGCATCAGGAGCTGGCTAGACAAGATGGAGTCCTCCATTAGCAGCACGATGTCCACCAGCGAAGACCCGGACAAGAGACGACACCTAGATAAAGGACAACATCAAGCCCAGCAAGGAGAAGAAGAAGACCGCACGTCACATTCTGGTTGCACGAGAACAGGTTCCAAGAGACGGCACGAAAGTCCCGTATCAGTGTCTGACCGGCAACAAGCCAACCTTTAGAGACTCTTGGATCAGAGCGAAAGGGAAGTGACGTAGAACACTTCTTATCCAACTGCGGAGGAATCGAAAGACGCTTCGGAGATCGAGAAATGAAGGACAACGAATCACTCCTTATGTGCGTCTACTGCAAGGTGTTTGGAAAGCACTATTCTGATGCATGCCCAAGGATAGGAAGTGTGGCCGAAAGACTGGAAATCCTGCGCGAGGAAGGTCGATGTCTAAAGTGCATCGGACTGCACGACGCGTTAAGCTGCAGGAAACGCCCAATCTGCTTCTACTGCAAGAGAGCTGACCCATCGGCGCCACCACCAGAGCACCGTGAGCACCACGCAAGCATCTGCACCAAGCCCGAAGAGTACACCCGGAAGGTTCAGCTAAGGAAGGATCTCCTCAGAAGGATCGACAGGTGCAAGGAGCAACTCATGAACTCGTGGAGACGCAGCGCATCAGTAAGAGCACAAGAAGAGAAGCGGACACCAGATTACCAGTCACGGCCTACTACACCGCGAGGTCCCCCCGACTTCTATTGCTGAGGCCGGAGTATACTGACTCATGAGCCAGTATCTTCACAGGAATGCGGAGAATCAACGCGAATCACAGAATCACAGATAGCTAATGTGTGTGATAGTTGTTATGAGAACAAAGCTTTATCTCTTTGCTTCACAGACATTCTTTGTATTATGTTTATGTATTTGATGTATATATGTGTTTGCTGTATATAAGCTAGCAGTTAGAGATGGCTCACTGTTCCTTTTTGCTTTGTATTAGTTTAGCCTTTTCTCTGCACGACTCATTGCACGATAGGTTCTCCGCACTACACCGTCTGTAGGTAGTCACAGTCACAGTCACAGTAACATCAGTTATCATGTAATTGTACTTGGAATAGTTGTAGTATTAGTTTAGCACCTTTGCGCATTATTTGTTATTTGTTGGTCTTAATAAAGGTTTAATTATCCAAGTTTGAGGTAGCACTCGAACCGACTCGCGCACGTTCCCAAAGTCCCGCGTGGCAAGCTAGAGCGACACAAGTGTCAATTCACGTTGAAAGCACATGTGACACAATCTTTCGTTCTTTTGGGTTCCACTTAAGCAAAACTGGATACAAACTTTGACATACTTGCTCGTGATCCCACATAACTATGTATCCGACGTAGACTCGTGTGCAGTGAACACTCAAAAATTTCTATTCATAGCGAGATAAGCAATTCCATTCTTTTCAAAAACTAAAAACATATGAATTCTCAATAATTTATTTAATGGTGAGCAAAATAGTAAAGAGGCGAAGGTTGGGAACGAGCTTAAGAATGGTCACATTCTTGACCAGAACTTGATTTTCAATCCAAACAAGGTGCTTTGTTTTCGTTATGGCGTCTTCGTATTGTAGTTAGGACGTTCAATGTGCGTATTTTTCAAGTATGCTGTGACGCATGCTCCCCAGAAAACGTTTCAAAAACACCTATATAGCAGTGGCATACCGAGGGAGGGGGGGAGGAAATTTTTGGAAGTTACTTACATGAGTTATAGAATTGTGCAAATGACTTGTTCGTACTTGTAAATATAATAATTAAAATATTTTTAAAAAATTTTTAAAAATTCATTTTAGCCTTAAAAAACAAATTTTTTTGGGGGCGTGGCTGACGCCCCCTTTTTCCGGATTTTAGGGGTTAGGGACCCGCAAAAATTTTGAGAAGCACCCAAAAATTTTTTCGGAGTGCGTGGCTAACGCCACGCACATTCATCAGAAAAAATTTTTTGTCCCCCCCCCGAGCCGAAATCCTGGGTACGCCACTGCTGTATAGTCTGGAGAATTCTCCCTAGAAGTAGAATTCTCATCATTACTGTGAGTATGGGCTGAATTTCCACGAACTTTATTTACTGTGACTCAAATAATTTGATTTCAAACCCATAAATCCTTTTAGAAGTTGCTTAGCAGATAATGAAAAATGTAAATGATGCTAACGATCTTCTAGTACGATGATTTACAGCTTGTGGGGGTTGGGAATGATCTGATTAGTTCCTCGTCGACATTGTACATACTATGTTGTCCCATATGTCTTTTCATACCTGAATTTTCATCAGCATAAGTCGATCCTTCTTGTATCCCTAATAAAATGCGGGTTACCATTCGACAGATCAAAGCAAACTCTACAAGCCGGCGTTGAGAAGTTTGTACCAAGCTTGATCCTCATCAATTCAAGCCAAAAAAAATCTCCGAATTTCCAAAACAACAAAAATCATCACATCTCATTTCAAAACAACTCTGCAAATCTCTCATTTGCTACCGCATATAATCTCCTAATCAAATATTTATACAAGCACTTTTCGCATTTTTGTGATGGCTAAAAACCAAGAAAAAAATAATGAGCTGATTTTTCAAACTTTGCTTCTGCCGGTTTCGTGTTCCTCGCAAATATATATTTATTATTAGCTTATTCACTTGTAATAATGCCGCAAATTTGCAGCCTTGTAGGTGGCCTAATTTTTGGAAATATCGATCTAAAGATCCAAATATGGAAGGACTTATGGACAACTTAATATTAGGTTGTCCCAAAAGTTTTGTCCTTTTTTTCAAACCACTGTAAAACCACGCACAAATAGATCTGAATAAGTTCCAACATGCTTTGATGCAGCTTTTCCTTTTCTTTTTTGTGGACACATTTTCCCAAAATCTTTTACGATTTTTTTTGATAATTGCCAAAATTCTCCACCCGTCAATTTTATGTGCTCAAGGTTAGGCTAATTTTTGAAAATTTCATTTCAAAGTTTCGGAAAGGATTAAGTATTGTTCAAATAGAGCAATTCTCGGACTACAAGGTAATATTTTTGGGTTTTCCTAATCTGCTGCTTTTAGCTTAGAAAAATTATTTTTTTGGAGGTCTCGGTTTTTGGCAAAGTCATAAGACACGCAACTGCAGCAAATACATGAAAGCTTTTGAAATTTCTACGAAATGAAACATGATTCTTATTAAACATCATTCATGCAACATAACCAAGTTTGATTTGCTTGGAAAAATCTGCTTTTTGATTTTTCGATACTTTTGAGTGGGTAAACTTAATCAAAAAGCCGCGATTTTTATCAAATAGATAATTGTAACGGACTTGGGAAACGTCATCCATGTAGTCTAAAATGAGTGCAATGTAGCTAAAGGTTTGCTCTACATAACAGTTACTAGCGCTCTTTGTCATCAGGATAAAAATTTTCAAAATTCAGGAAAGATTTGGCGTTACTGCTGAACAGCTCAAAAAGCCATGTCGATAACATTCCAAGGACAAGGTAGATCAGAAAGCAAGTGTAGCTATAAGAAAGAGTATGAAAATCTGAATTATTTGGTACCTAAGCCGTCCGTAGATTGGAGTTCCGTGATTCTTAGTAAGCGATGAAAAAAAAAAGGACAAAACCTTTCGGGACAACCTAATATAATTTGGCGGATAATTTCTGCTAAACTTTTATTTTTAAGAATTTTTCTGAAAGTCTAACAAGGAGAGGATACTTAGTCGAAAGCACCAATCCAGATGAGACACATATCATCTTAAAGCGCTTAAAACGCTGATTCCAAATTTGTAGTTTTTAGCAGCGGAGCGGTTTTGTAAAAGGAGTTATGAGAGATGTTTCCCTTTGGGGTTGAGGCGCCCTCCAGCAGGTCTCCCTTTACCCTACTGGTACCAACTGGTAGCAACTGGCTAGTGGTAAGTAATTTGAATGAAGATTACATTACGTAATAGTAACACGTATTACTTTGATTTTTTAACACTTCCAGCTTTAATTAACATCAATATTATCCGAAATTTCAGGCTTTAGGGCTCTAGAGCCATTAAAAAGCTCAAGAATTGTGATAAAGTTGCATGCGAAAGGGATTAAAACCTTGACACTCTCTTTATCAAGCAAGGCACTTACCACTAGGCCACTTGCCACCAATTGGTACTCCCCTACAGTGCTCATAGACAAGGGGAGACCTGCTGGAGGACGCCTCAACCCCAAAAGGAAACACCCCTCATAACTCCTTCTACAAAACCGCTCCTCTGCTAAAAACTACAGATTTGGAATCAGCGTTTCAAGCGCTTTAGGATGATATGTGTCTCGTCTGGATTGGTGCTTTCGACTGAGTATCCTCTCCTAGTAAGATGCTTTGAAAAATTCTTATGTTTGAGAAGTGGTGACGGGGTGCAAAGGTCTACCCACTAATCCTGCCGGATCCGCGGTCCGTGCGCAAAACACTCGCTCTATCGGTGGGACGGTTTTATGTTAATGGGCTGGCATTCTTTCAGGTGATTAGCGAGAGACGGGGCGATGTGGCAGTCGGGCGGGAATATGGTCCTTAGTTTTCAGCTAATGCAGAGGGACGACACAGTCATATCCAGCATTCATGTGCGCTACATAGTGCGCCAATAAAAATCTTATATATAAAGCTGAATGTCTGTTTGTCTGTCTGTCTGTCTGTATGTATGTTCGTATGTTTCGAATGGAAATTTCTATTTCTGAACCGATCCGGACCAAACTTGGCACACATACACTTCGGTGCGGTGCGGATGTCTTAGGCTACTTTTCGTCATCTAAGGATATCAATTTTATCGATTTTTATCGATTTTTTCGCAGAGTTCACCTACGGGGCTGGGAGTTGGCACAGGGGGTAATCGAGTATGCTGATTGCGAGTACATTATTAGTTTGGCGCTATTCGGCTATCCGGGCCCCAAAATCCTTTTGTCGTAAAGCTCGCTCAGACTTCGTGTATAAGGGTTATCTTACATGCTGATTACAGATATCACACTTTCTTCGCAAAACGCTTCCCTGTGTATTTACGATAGGTGTATGGTAGGAAGTCAAAATCATGAATTCAGCTGAAGTTCGGTTCAGAGAACTTATTCGACGTGCTGATTACGAATTTCGTTCTCTCTGCATATTATGACTTTTTCATAGGGTTACGGTGCTTATACGCTATGGGATCGAAAACATAGATTTGCTTTAAACTTCGTCTAGGGTGGTCATTTAGCGCGCTGGACATGAATATCATGCTGATTTCGCAGGATAGCGCACTTTCTTGGGTTACGGTGGATATACAGTAGATGGATCGAAATTCCAGATTCGCTCAAAACCATACCTGTAACGGTTCACAAGCATACTGCTTATGAATATGATGCTTGCTCGCTGTCACAAAGCAATATTGTGAAGTTATGGTGAGCTGCAGGGTTTGAATGGATATTTTTCGCCTTTGGGCCAGTAGATCCCAGATATTCACGGAATGGGGAAACGGTTGTTTTGCATGGCGGTCACCAGCATCATCTTGATAACCTGTCACAACGCGTAAGCACGCGGCAAATCTCTCTTCCCCTGTTTTTGCTTAGGCAAAAGCCGCCGAAGGGTGTCTCGCGCGAGGCAGTGGTCCTGTAAGGAAATTGTAACCTGTCCCAATGCGTAACGCACGCGGCAAATCTCCCTCCTCCCTGTTTTTGCTTAGGCAAAAGCCGCCGAAGGTTGTATCGCGCGCGGCAGTGGTCCTACAAGGAAAGCATTACGGTCGGGGGAAACTTTTATAC